AAATCTCCAAAATATAACAGATTAGCCTGCCTTTCGGCTCTGAACGTTCTTTATGCCATTGTTACAAGGGATGAGAGGGAGATATAAAATCGAAATATATAGTCGTATACACCACGAAGTTTCTCGGAGTGCATCTACTGTTTCAGCGGATGGATCTTTGTCGTCCGTTTTTCGCAGGACATCCATAGAGAAGGATTTCAATTTCTCCGCCGACTTTTCATGGCCGCGGACCAGAAAGAAAATCACGGCAATGGGAAAAGAGAAAAAGGAGACGCGCGCCATCGTGGATAAACGATCGAGATAATGGACTTTATGATCCTTACGGATCTCGCGGCCGTTGCATAAATTCTACCGTCCGTATAATGTAAAGCTAATATGTCGCTTCTTTGAACCACATCTTGCAGTGGCTGCTGGTATGGTTGGTAGCAGCGAATAAAAGGGAGCACGCAGGTAATGTCGGCGGTTTGGTTCACGTAAGAGAGCGACAGGAATAAAGGGATATATAAAGAGTGAAAAGGAGGACGAAGGTAGAGGACAAGCAGGAGGAAAGACTACCGGAGAACGCCTGGGAATAGTAAATTTCCGTTGCGCCGTGGCATCGTTATTAGCATACAAGTATTTAGAATGAATTATGGGCCAGGTCGCTTATTCCCGAGGGTGGATATATTCGGTACAGACACTCCGGGCGTTCTTCCTACGTCAGGTGTATCCCTCAGGAGCTAACATTATGTCGTCTTGCATATTTTATCCTTTCACTCTCTTGGTCTCCCTGACACGTTCCACAGTCGCGAAAGGGAGCAGAGAGAGAGAAAGAGACGGAGAGAAAAAATAGCAGAAGAGGATAGAGAAGAAGGAGCAAGCGAGCAAACACGCGTGGGCATTTAAAACCACGACGTTATACGCGCGAAAGGTGCAACATGAGTTGCTGCCGAGAAGGAGGTCGAGATACACGACCTCTTCCTTCTTCTCGTTCTTCATCTGCCGCGTTCTACCTGCGTTCTAAACCGTTTGCAATTTATAATCAGTTTACTTAAGCCGATAGTAAGCCAATTCCGTGGATCTCGTAAACGGCGTAACAACGTCCACGCGATGATCGTTACAACCTGATCTAACAAATGGCCCAGGTCGCCAAATCACCGTTAATCGTTGCACTTGCGTTCTGATTAAACCATTTTTTAAACGATCATCCTTCCTCCTTCCTCGTTTAGAATCGTGCCCGACGTTTCTACTTTATTAAGCACATTCCAAGGCTAGATGTCATAGATCGAGAGGTCGATTTTAATAAGCAGCAATCATTTAATTCAACTAAAACATGCCGATAGATATTTTGATTTAATAAATTTCAAAATTGTGGCAAGTGTGAAAAAATCAAATATTTGTCAAACCAACAAAGTGTCAATTTTTTTGTAATCAGCCTCGTTTCCCTTTTATCGCACACGTGCACGTTATTTATGAACCAAACCGGAAAATGTAATAAATTGTAAAAGCAATCATTTTTACTCGTTTTTTTTTCTACGACATTGTTGCTTAAATTTCTTTCTTTCTTAACAATAAGACGTCTTTTTTATTACTACATTTTTTTTCATCTTACCCTTTATTCTTTCTTTCCCAATTTTTTTTTTGGTGGGAAATAAAATACACGATAGGGATATACGATCGCATGCGGCAATTAGAAAGCCATTATCTCACGGCCGTGGACATTCGACTGTTGTGCAACAACTACGCGTGAGAGGGTGGTGGAAGAGTGGTGGATTCCCACGGAGTTTCTACACCTTCTGTCCGGGGGTAGATAGATGTCCGGCAATCAGGTGCAGAGACCCCCAACCGCCTTTGAATCCGTCGGCCGGCAGCTGCCTGATACGTTCTCGTTGACGCGGAGCCATCATCGTGCCTACCGCCCTCCCGCTGTTTCGTTTTCGTGTTTGGACACCGACGGGGAAACGAGCTTAAGAGAAGCCACGTCCGAAACACCGGGGATCCTCTTTAAAACGAAGGGGCCAGGATTTTTTCGAAATTGACCGTGAACGACGTACGGCATGCTTCGGAAACGAACGCCGGAGAATGTAGAAAATGGACGCAAAATCCAGGAATTTGTATTTCATTTCCAACACGCTTTTCGCCTTTTAGTTCCTTTTGATATACAATAAAGATATTACAAAAAAAAAAAAAAAAAAGAATAATATTTTATTCGTTAACTCTGCTGCTCTAAAATACATTCTCTTTAAAATTTATTTTTGATTTTATCGTATCTTGATATTTTTGCACAGTTATATACTGGAGCGGGGTGCGTAGTAATTTATATTAGATTTTCCGCGGATTTCGCGACGTGTGATTGGCGTATATCATAAAATTTACACACCATTATTACTCGTAACATAATGAACGGCGCGAATGCATGACAGTGTAGGAAGTTTCAATTAAATAGATAGCCATGGTGACGATGGAGATTTACGATGATGACGGTGTCATCGCGATTCTGCACGACACTCGTAGGCAGCGGCAGGCGATTCTGAAAATGATAGCGCTGGAAATTCATAGTGGCGGCTACATATGCGCGGTTCACCCAGCCGCGTTAAATTCGGTCCCGTAATGATTCGACGATCGTGCACGTTCATTTCCGAGGAGTTAATATTCAAAATGAACATTAACAGAGGACGTACGCTACCGTTAATCTCCAATGGCATGTGGGACCGTTCATAGTTGCGCCGGAGGTCGCTTTACTGCACTCGCGTTAATTATGCAAATGAATAATTAGCATTTCGATTATTTCGGCAACGTCACTGTCTATGTCGCGGAAAATTTACCGCGCCGATATTAATTTATCGTTTCTACGCATACTCGAGCCAGCGAAATTTATCATCTCTACAGTTTTGATAATGCGAGACAAACAATATAAAGTATCTATCGTCAAACTGTCATTCGTGCGAGATTAATAATAACTAAATGTAATAATTTATTATCGTCATCTATCGACATCGTCTTGGATCGGTTCATCAATCCCGTTGCAAAATCATTGAGGGAACCGTTCGAAAAATTCACAGGAGATCTCCTAAGACTTGGGACGTAATGAAGATATTATGAGTCGAGGTTAAAGGTCGCCAGACTGTCAGGCACGCGCTGTCGTAGACCGTCGACTAATCAACAGACGTCGAAGGAACGAAGAGAAGGAAATTGAAAGATTTTTGGGTTTCGCAATCGAAGAACTCCTTCGTGATCCCCGACGGAACGAAAGAAACATGAATCTAGGAATATTAATCGTTCGAATTTACCGTCGAAAGGTAGGTTCTAACACGAATCGAAGAGTGATCAATGCGAACCGAATCGAACTGACTGCAGAAATAAACTGTTAGCCTCTATGAATATATTCATATCTCCTTATCAATATTCAGAACCTACTTTCCTCCGACTACGTTTAAATTCCCACTAAAATCGAGCGACTCTCCGAACACGCTCGGTATTCGACGGTATAAGGCACGATCTTCGATTTCTCATAACGACAGTTTATGTCTTCCCGATTCGTGTTCCCATTCCCGAAAGCTTCGAGATATATGAGACGCAATGATGACGATTTTCTCTCTTTCTCTCTATGTTTGCTCTCTGTAACACTTGCGCACTTGACATTATGTATTTTCGCGAAGAAAATAGCCCACTGGGAATTCGTCCAAATGCATTAACGATCTCGGTAATTGGCAGTAAACACACGTACAATTAATTTACTCGAACTTGGCACTGGTTTGGTCGGAATCGAAATCGGATAGGAATGGAGGCTTCCTTGGACCATTTCCAATTCCGTTCGACTTCCTTCGCTCTCTTTCATCCGTCATTGCCTGTTGCGTTATTTTGCTACCTCGAAAGTACGTGGATCCGGAAATACGTGAGTCGTATTTTAAACGCCGCTGAAGATTAAAGAACTCTTGGCGAACCAGTCCACGTCTCGATTCGGAGGATTTAAGCCGACTCCAACAAATAGATTGCCGCGCTAATGGATGGGAGTTCCGATTTGATATTACCTCTCCCTATCCCGGTGCTTCAAGCAGGAAATTAGCAAGTCTTAGGAGATCTCCTGTTAATCGTCGGGGTGATTTCTGTGGCATCGCTTTCGGACAATTTGCCGCGACGAAATTTCATTTGTCCCCTTTCTCCCGCGTGCCAACAGTCGTTGGTGAACCCTTCGAGGGTCTCTTCTCGCTAATCCACCTTATTCACTCTTTATCTCCTTCCATTCGACTTTTCCTAACATTCGCTCTTCGTCGGAAATGGAGCTTACAGAATTAATCGGTGTTATCCCGAGTCTGAAATCCACGGAACGCTTCGTGCTTTCTCATCAGATCATTTTCAGAATGAGAGACGAGGCGACAATGACACATCGAATGAAAAGGAAAATCAGATTTCGAATGGAGTCTTAGAGTCGGATTAGAAAAGAATGAAGTCGTCTAAAATTTCAATCCCTTGAGACATCTTGAAAGGCGGATGTATTATAGAAAAATCTACTCGAATATTTGTTCTCTATTCCATTTCAAAACAAAGTAGAGAAAAGAAATATTTCTTCTTTACAAAAATTACTAAAGATGTTGTTTTAAAAAATTCTATATATTTCCTGTGATTATAACAGCTATTGCAAATAATTTTAATGGAATATGTTTACTAACGTAATTTAAAAATATCCGAGTTTGCGAACCTGTGTAATGAACGCACAGTGTAATGCACAAGCTCCGCAGTAGTAGGACGGAAACTCGTTGTTTTCCCGCATCAATGATTTATACTCGGCAATTTATCAGTAATTACAGAGAGATATCGAGAATTACACGCTGCTTTGCATCGTGTCGATGGCGCCCGCGCGGTTTTCCCTTCGACAATTTTCGTGTCGCAGCTGCGTTCGCGTGCCCCGTTCTCCACTTTTTACGTTCGTCGCTCGACGAGCGCGCGCGTAAGTAATTAAAGAGACATTATGGTATCGAGGGATGCGATACGAGAGGAGAATAAAAAAATCATGTGCTCACCTTATCACTGTATATATCGCGTATCCGCCTGGATGTTCTATTATCAGCGACGAAACGCGCACACACTAAAGAGCACCAAAGAAATCATCGATCACAATTGGTCTCTGATGGATCCTCCGTCTCTTCCCGTGTGTTCCTTCCTTCTCACTTGATATAAATTTAAATACAAAAATTTCACTCGTACACTTCTCGACGCTTCGCGCTATATTTACAAGCCTCTATAAATAAGATTACACAAAATCTACTATGTGCTACATGAGTATTCACGAAAAAATATCCATTTAGAAAAATGCAAAACGACCGGTGGCGCGTATATATATATATATATATATATATTTATCACTGGCTATCGGTGGTCCGCGTATTTTCTCACACCGGGTCCCCACGAGGTCCCCATTTAGGAAACGTGCGACGCGTCCGTCCCTTCATACGAGGCGCACGACCAGCCCAAGAGGAACGACGTACCAACTAACACCGTACCGTCACGGCGCCACGGCACTAACTGACAGGCTGACGAGAAACTCCAGTTGGTCGTCGGCGGGTTCGCGCCATGGAGAGGGGAAGTAAACCCGCGCGGCTCTACAAAGAGCGAGTGAGAGAGAGAAAGGGAAGGAGACCCTCTCTCTCTCTCTCTCTCGCATACGGTCTAGCGTCTTCGTTCGATCACGTGCGTTCTCTTCTTCTCGCTTATACCTTCGCCCTACGTCACCATCTAGTGGTGGATCGACGTACCCTGGCGGGCGCGCGCCGGTTCACCACCCCTGTGGTGGACAGAAGGGAGGGAACGAAACGAGCACGTGAGACTGGTAAAGAGCGAGGGGGCGACGAACAGAGCGTACGGAAGGGAGGGAGGTCAGCCAAGGCCGGTATATGGGGGCGAGGTTGCAAAATATGTTGTAGAAATGGGGTGGCGAATGAATGCGGTCGCCCCGTAGACTAGCGATTTTATTGATCTTTTTTCCACCCTTCGGATACGCGCGCGGCTCGCTTAATTAAGCGACCGAACTATAAGGTCGTATACACCTCTGCCAAAGTATTTCGACGGGGGTGGAGGGGTGCTGGGTTATTGAAATAACTTTTCAAAACAATTTTTAATGTATTTTTAGAGTTATATATGTATATATATATTATATATGTATATGTTTGTTTTTATGTAGTTTGCTGTTACGATCGATCAAGCTTTTGATATGGTACACGTAGCTCGGAATTGATAAAAATGTATTTCGATACAGATACAGTTTCTATGCATCCGTTCTGAGAGCTAGCGCGATAAATTTTTCACGAATCAAGTAAATGCAAGCGATTAATTTTATTTAGTCCATCCATTGTACAGTAACGCGGAAAATATTGATCGCAAATGTAAACATTAATCACACCGCAGTATTAAATCGATATAAATTGACGTAGATGATTATAGGGAGAGGGGTGTGCGAGTTAATGAAAACGGATATATCGTTATTCGTTTTTGACTGACGGAACGTTATCGGTCGATCGTAAATTTTCAGAGACGTCATCATTCGTAATAATTTATTAGCGCTCCGGACGTGAAAACCCATAAAGATCTCGCGAAATTGTGAGATATTGTGTCTTATCACTTTTCGGTTCCGACTCGTTCGATCCCGGGGGCAAGCCGGTGGGATTCGAATTAGTGTTTATGGCACCCATGGGCGCGCAACAAAATCCCTTTTCGCGGAACGATTGCAACAGTCTGACAAGCATTAGACGCCGCTGTCATCATTTTTTCTAATAACACTTCGATAAATATCTATTTATTTTCGCGGGACAAGTTAACATTTTACACAAACACATATACAGCACTATAGTATACATATTAAAGGGTGGTTGACATAAAGTGTCACACCCAAAATATACAAGTGGATCTCGTTATTTAGAGATGATTTTTCCTCGGCAAAAATATCGAGGGAGACCATCATTTTTTGCATGTTCTCAATTTTTGCCATATGTATCTTTATAATTAAACCTTAAATTAAAATTTTTTTAAGTAAACTCTACTTGAAATTTATTCGAGAATGTGATTTTGTTAATATTTCATTTCCACGAGGCTTAGTTTGCGAAAAACCCTTTATTTTCAATCGTTTATAACTCGAAAATTATTGATGCCTCGATATTTTTGCTGAGGAAAAAGAAGATCTACTTGTATATTTTCGGTGTAACAACTTATATCAGACACCCTGTATAATAAGTACTACGTAAAGTATTTTATTTCTAAAATTACGTTATACATTATATTATATTATATCAATGTAATAAATTTTTTTACGCTTATCATCGCGCGACAATTAATTAAGTACAAAAGGACTTTAATTACATGCAGTTGATCTCCTCGCTCGCGGGAAATTTAAATGCATCAGCATGCATTTCGGCTTGTCCGATATTTTCTAGCCTAATCGGGAAATCGGTCACGCTGTAAATCTTTAAATAAACACGATTAATCGCTCTCGACAAGTTTGCTTCCCAAACTTCACACAGCGGCGTGGCGTAGCGGGCTTAAAATGGATTTACTCGATCCGAATGCATTAACGACGGGAGAGAAGTAGTTGCTGTGCTCTCAAAGAGTCCGTAGGGTTGGGAGCGAGTGCTAATTAACGATTCGATCACGAAGCTTCCGGCGCCGGTAGACAACGTCGTCACCTCCACCGGATTCTCTTTGATCCTCTTCTCTATCTCCGTTTCATTCTCTTATTCGCGTCTCCCTTTTCCGCCAATCTTTCCGCCTACACGTCGTCTGTGGATATCACATATAGACGGCGCATACAGATGCCTTTGGAGGTACCAAAGCCGGCGTATGTTCGCAACGACGTGTCAGAAAGCACGTTAATTACAAAAAGCACGCTCTTTTGTTCTCCGAAAGCTTAAGATTTATGCATCGAAATTCGTGATCCCGCGTCGTCCCATAATGCGGAATTTAACATTCTCTCCGCAATCCACTTCAATAATTTGTCTTAGAAAGATTTTTTCCCGAAAATTAACAAACGCGACATGGAAGAATCGATAAATATAAAGCGAATCAAAAAATGAAGAAGGAAAAAGATTACGCGATTTGATCATCCTGACATGTTCGTCTTCATCCCCCGTAAGGTCGCGTCTCGAATCTCATCGTCTGTCTACTTGCCCTTCCAAGGACCAATCTCCGAGGCCGCGTACGCAAAAGAGGGAGGACATGCGCCCGCAGACAAGAGATCTAATATACCCGTCGGTTACATTAGCCGGATTTAATTTAAGCTCCGACCCCACCGACGTAAGCATGCCGCTTATGCTCTCTACCTACCGCGAGTGAGAACACACGTTGGGGAAGAAGGAGGAGGCCCTTCGAGATGCGGCAGAGATCGTCAGGAGGTGAAAGAGAGACAGATGGAAAGATAGAGGTATGCGATGGTAGCGCGAGAGACGCCGCCGCTTTATTGTAATTGCGCTGTCGCGCGAGCAAAACGTCGCCCTCTTCTCTCTCTCTCTTTTTCTCCACTTGGCTAACCGAGTACTCGCTAATGTCCGACCATTTCAGAAGAGGGACAGCTTCATTAACGGCAAAAAAATCATCCCTCTTTCTCGTACGTCATTTTTTTGCCCCGTTCCACGATTAAAACCTGGCCAATGCGTGTTCGGAGCAACTTTCCTGCTTCTGTTTTCGATTAAAGTTTGGAAATCTAACGACGTCTCTCAGGAAAGTTGTAAGTTGTAAGGTACATTATCGAAAAAAAAAAAAAAAAAAAAAAAAACGATCATGAAAACACAATCGCGATACGATGGCTCGCTCGAGAGGAAGACAGCGACGTGGCTGACGCTGTATCTATACTGTCGGACGAATGTCGAGATATTTCCTCTCTCGCAGGTCGCTGTTTGCCCGCCATTCCGGTCCCCTTTCTCTTTTTCTTACGTCGACAAATACGATACTCTGAGACGCTAAGCTCATATTTATTTATGAAAGAGGAAGTGGCGCACGGTTTGTCTGTCTGGGGTGGAAATATATACATTCCCGCGTACAGCGCGCGTAAAGCGCGTATGGGGCGCAAGAAGAGGCATGCACAGACGAGGGATGTTCGCGAAAAGTTGCGCTCCCGTAGGTAGGTATACCCGGCAAAACTTTCGACGCGCTCAAGCGAAATCGCACGTTTCATTGTTACTTTTGTACGTTTTTGAGCGACGATATGGTAGACGCTCAGCCGCCGTCGCTCGCCGAATGTATGGCGCAAATAAAACTGCCACGTCGAGCGAAGTTACCGTAACCGTTTTTAGTACTTTATGACATCCGTAAATCTCCGCCGGTGCAGGAAGAGGCTCGAATCATTCGGAGGATACCCGGCTATCTCCACCGAAAATTGACGAGGTCACTGTGTCAAAGAAACCAAGTTTCACCCCCGTCATGAATAATCGCGCTGGACATCGGGGTCACGTGTGAACTTCCTTAGATACGTCACGCGCGCGCGAAGAAAAATTTATCGCGAAACTTTCCGCCATCATTATCGCATACGCGACGTTTTCTCATCGTGTAACATTTGAATTGAATTTTATGCGATTTCTTTGTTTTTTTTTTTCGTCCAAACGAAAACTTTTCTGTCTTGTGCGGATTAACATTTTTAAATATGTTGAAAATTATTTTTGCGTCTGTGTGTTTGTATCGATTAGGTACGTTAATTAAAAAGAGAGCTTTATAACAGGATATTTTTCATGTTCATATAATGTAATACTTTGTAATATTTTATATCAAGAGAATAATATTCAAAATTGATTTCATTTAGTTGAAAATGTAGCTGATGTTATAATTGTATGAAAAAAAGATTTGTGTGGAAAATCGTTACGAGTATGCTATTAAATCCATAAAAATTAAGAGAGATATTATTTTTGACATCAAATTCACAGATCATGTTTCAAAGTAAATTGAAAGATAATTATGACCACACATATTTATTACAGTTTCAATTTTTAGTGTCAATGCTCAGTCGAATAAAGCTATAAAGTTGAATAGAAAAAAAGTTGAATAGAAAAAAACCTGCATTCCTCGGTTAGTGGTTGGAGAGTTTTAACACGTATAATATATTTCGAAAATTTACGACACTTATAAACTCTTGCTGCCGCAAAAATAAATTCGGTTTCCTGCGAAAATATCATTTATCTTCAGTAGAAAAAGACCTGCAAAAGGTTTCCGTTAAAAATTGCAGGTTATTCTATCGATTATAACAGTTTTTGTATTCTTTAACTATCGTTTAGGTAATATTCTTTCCCAAATTCTTTCTCCAATTCACGAGTTCATATCTGTTGACACCCAGGTTTTAAATGGAAAAAGGAAGCAAAATTCGGTCAGTGGAGCGAACTGACTACTTTCGTTCCCTCCTAAAATGCGTTGAACTACAATAGTATACCCTCTGAATTCTATTTGTTTTATCGTATGCCGTAAATTTCTTCGGCTACTATGTGAAAGTAGAAAAAGGGATCCTCACCACCAACTGATTTCTGGATATTTAAGAGAATTCCATCTTTTACGATAGGATCCTTT